GTGGAGTTAATAGAATGCCCAGCCCAGCTGGTGGAGAGTTGGCTGCTGACCGGTTGCTGCCTTCTGGCTGGGCAGCGGCACGCCAAGGAATGTTCTCCTTGGAGCAAAGAAAGGCCTTTTCAGCGAATGCCTCACGACTGCCTGCCCACCGATCGGTCTTGTTAGGTTTCTTTGGTTTATTTATCTCCTGCTTGATGACTTAGATGAGGGAATAGAAAGGGGAACTGGCCAAATTCGCTGGCGATATTAAGCTGGCAGGAAGAGCCAACACCCTAGAAGATAGGCTCAAGATCCAGACGGATCTTGAGGGACTCGAACACTGGATCGTATCTCACAAAATGAAATTCAATGTAGAGAAAAGTAAAGTCCTACACTTAGGGAAGAAAAGGGGCGTGCATAAGTGTACCATAATGCCTCCCGTCCCTGTCCTATTGTCCCCTTTTAATCGTACCTATTTTCTGTATTCTTACTCATGTTTATACTTATGCCTATTATTTTGTAAGCGATTGACAAATCAAATAAATAACTAAATAACAAACAAACAAACAAACAAATAAATAAATATCAAAAGTACCCATATAGACTGGATGAAACCAGGTTCAATAGCAGTAACTGGGAGAGGGATCTTGGAGTCTTAGTGGACAATCAGCTAAATAGGAGCCAGCCGTGTGTAGCAGCAGCAGCAGCCAAAAAAGTTAATGCAATCCTAAATTGCATTAACAGAGGGATACAATCCAGATCAAGGGAGGTACTAATACCACTCTATAAAGCCTTAGTAAGGCCACACCTAGAGGACTGCCTCCAGTTTTGGTCACCACACTATAAAAAGATGTTGAGACTCTAGAAAAAGTACAGAGAAGAGCAACCAGGTTGATTAGGGGACTAGAGACTAAAACATATGATGAACGATTGCAGGAACTGGGCCTGGCTAGTCTAGTGAAGAGAAGGACCAGGGGAGACAGGAGAGCTGTCTTCCAGTATCTGAGGGGCTGCCCCAGAGAGGAGGGAGGGGTCAATCTGTTTTCCAAGGCACCTGAAGGCCAGACAAGGAATAATAGATGGAAATTGACCAAGGAGAAATTCAACCTGCAAATAAGAAGAAACTTTCTGACAGTGAGAACAATCCACCCATGGAACAGAATTTGCCTTCAGAAGTTGTGGAAGTTTCATCACTGGAAACTTTCCAGAAGAGTTGGACTGCCATCTGTCAGAAATGGTGTAGGGTCTCCTGCTTGGGCGGGGGGGTTGGACTAGATGACCTACAAGGACCCTTCCAACTCTGTTAATCTTTATCTGCCTATATTTATTATTACTTTTGTTGACATAAATTTCTGAGTAGCCCCTCTCAGTCCATGACTTTGGGCGCCTTACAGTTCAAATATATGTATATATTCCGGTTAAAAATGCTACAAACCAGGGGTGAGATTCTACCAGTTTGCACCTATTCGCTAGAACTGGTTGTTAACATTCTAAGCAGTTCGGAGAACCGTTTGTTAGAAGAAATTACTGGGCTAATCTTGTAAGGAAGGCAGGAAGGAAACATTCTGGTGTTGCTTACAGAAACTGCCTCTCCGTTGACCGTTATTACATTATTGGCAGGACTGGACTTCCTATCTCAGGAACTTCTGTGGAGTCTTTTTCCCTCCTTTGCTGGTACTTTGCTTGTGTGGAGTGACCATTCAAAGTTACAATGGCACTGAAAAAAGTGACTTATGACCATTTTTCACACTTATGACTGTTGCAGCATCCCCACAGTCATGAGAGGCCAGGCGAGGAGATGCGTGCCTTGATGTTAGGGATATTGAGTTGGCCACACCCAGCCAATAACATGACCACCTAAGCCATGCCCACAGAACCGGTTGTTAAAAATTTCGAATCCCACCCCTGCTACAAACAGTTTAAAACAATAAAAACCCTTTATTCCCTTTATGAGCAACTCAAGGAAGCGAACATTGGTAATCTTTTTTCCTCCTCCTTTTTCCTCTTTAACAACAACCCTGTGTAATGGATTGGGCTGGGAGAGAGAGAGAGAGAGCCCAAAGTCAGTTAGCCTAAAGGTCAGCTGGTTTTAATGTGGAACACAGAACTAGAACTCACCATCTCCTGGTGATACTCAGCTGGCTTCCATGCCTAACGCAGAACTAGAACTCCCAGTCTCCTGGTGATTGGCCCAAAAGTCTCCTAGCCGGCTTTGATGCATAAGGCAGGACTAGAACTCACCATCTCTCAGTTTCTACCTGGTGCCTTAACCACTAGTCCAAACTGGATTTCATAGAATTGTCGAGTGATACCCAGCTGCATACTGTTTCCCATCTTAGCTAATTTTTCTTAATATGTTAACATTTTATATTGTTGATTTTGTCATCCTGTAATCCTCCCAGAGTCACTTGACAGCTAAAATGGGCGGCATATGAATTTAATAAATAAGTAAAATACATAAGGATCGTTCTAGCCCAATGTTTTTCAACCTTGGCAATTTTAAGATGTCTGGACTTCAATTTCCGTAATTCCCTGGTCAGCACCAACTACCTTGCTGGCTAGGGAATTCTGGGAGTTGAAGTCCACATACCTTTAAAAAAAAAATGAGGTTGAGAAACACTGTCTTTAATCCAAAGCAAGATAATTCTAGATGTTTGCTTCCAGATTTGCTGATATCCTGCAATCCTAAACTCCAAATCGAAAGCTGTTGACAAACACGCATCCTGGAGTGCTAGGAATATTTCATCACACACACACCTACCCACACACAGTTTGTGGAATTGTCACACAGAGCCAGGAATTCAGTGCGAAATACATTCTGGCTTGCCACCAGCTTTAACATCAGAAGGGCTTGCCAGAAAATAAAATTCATTTCATTTCCCCAGAATTTCGGAAAGTTGGGTGCTGGCCATGGTTTTGGCCTCTCGATGGACCAAGCTGATGTGCAGAGTCAGATTAGATTAGATTAACAGAGTTGGAAGGGACCTTGTAGGTCATCTAGTCCTACCCTCCAACCCAAGCAGGAAGCCCTACACCATTTCTGACAGATCCAGGGATGAAGCTCCCACAACTTCTGAAAGCAACTTCTGTTCCATTGATTGATTGTTCTCACTGTCAGAAACTTTCTCATTTCCAGGTTGAATCTCTCCTCGATCAGTTTCTATCCATTATTCCTTGTCTGGCCTTCAAGTGCTTTAGAAAATAGATTGACCCCTTCCTCCTCTCTGGGGCAGCCCCTCAGATATTGGAAGGCTGCTATCATGTCTCGCCTGGTCCTTCTCTTCACCAGACCAGCCATGCCCAGTTCCTGCAACCATTCATTGTATGTTTTAGTCTCCAGTCCCCTCATCATCCTGGTGGCTCTTCTCTGCACTTTTTCTGGAGTCTCAAGATCTTTTTTATAGTGTGGTGACCAAAATTGGATGCAGGACTCTCAGTGTGGTCTAAGGCTTTATAGACTGGGTATTAGTACTTCACTTGATCTCGAGTGAATCCCTCTGTTAATGCAATTTAGGACTGCATTAGTTTTTTTGGCTCAGTCAATGTTTCCAGTACTGTGGTAAGCTAGAATAGAATAGAATAGAATAGAATAGAATAGAATAGAATAGAATAGAATAGAATAGAATAGAATAGAATAGAATATACAAAATACAGAGAATAAATGCAATGGAATAGAATGGAATAGAATATAGAATAGAGGATTCAGAATGAATAGAATAGAGAATAGAATAGAATAGAACATACAAACTACAGAGAATAAAATAGAATAGAATATACAAAATACAGAGAATAGAATAGAATAGAATAGAATAGAATAGAATAGAATAGAATAGAATAGAATATTCTTTATTGGCCAAGTGTGATTGGACACATAAGGAATTTGTCTTTGGTGCAAATGCTCTCAGTGGACATAAAAGATACATTTGTCAAGAATCATCAGGTACAACACTTAATAATAGTCACAGGGTACAATAAGCCATCAGATCATACTAGGAAACAGTCAATATAGATCGTAAGGATAAAAGCGACAAAGTGACAGTCATACAGTCACAAGTGGGAGGGGATGGGTGATAAGGAGTGATGAGAAGTTTAATAGTGATAGTAATGTGGATTTGTAAATAGTTGAACAGTGTTGAGGGAATTATTTGTTTAGCAGAGTGATGGCTTTCGGGTAAAACTGTCCTTGTGTCTAGTTGTTCTGGTGTGCAGTGCTCTGTATAGCTTCGTTTTGAGGGTAGGAGTTGAAACAGTTTGTGTCCAGGATGTGAGGGGTCTGTAGATATTTTCACAGCCCTCTTTTTGACTCGTGCAGGATATACAGGTCCTCCATGGAAGGCAGTTTGGTAGTAATTGTCTTTTCTGCAGTCCTAATTACTCTCTGAAGTCTGTGTCTGTCCTGTTGGGTTGCAGAACCGAATCAGACCATTATAGAGGTGCAGATGACAGACTCAATCATTCCTCTCTAGCAGGGGCCTCCAACCTTGGTAACTTGAAGCCTGGTGGACTTCAACTCCCAAAGCTGGCTGGGGAATTCTGGGAGTTGAAGTCCGCCAGGCTTCAAGTTACCAAGGCTGGAGACCCCTGCTCTGTAGAACTGTATCAGCAGCTCCTTGGGCGGTCACTAAACAAACTGTTGTAAGTCAAGGACTACCTGTAGCCAGGTGGGAGGCTTGGAGAGGCAACTTTGGGTTGTGGACTCCAACTCCCAGAATGCCTCAGCCAACCTTGGCCACTTTAAGGCAAGTGGACTTCAACTCCCAGAATTCCTCAGCCAGCAAAACTCCACCCCTCCCTCATTCTTCCCTGGAATCTGCAACCCCCCCCCCCCCCCCCACCTGCCCTCCCAGTCAGGGTCGCCTTTGCAAATCCCTGGAGAAACCCCCTCCCCAAAACTCCCCCTGCGGGTCCGCGCCGGAGAAGACAAAAAACATGCAAATCACAGAAAGAATAAACGATGCCCGGGCTGCGGACTTCAACTCCCAGAAGTCCCATCAAAGCGACGCCCGGCCGAGGCATGCCGGGAGGTGAAGTCCACGTGGACCAGGAAGCGGTTGATCGAGACAAGGAAATCTGCGAAGGAAAGCGAAGGACTCCGCCGCGGTCCTGGGAACTCAAAAAGAGTTACGTGTTAGGCAAAGGTGGTCGTCTGGATGGAGGGCTGGTGGGGAAGGGGGAGGCTGGGGTCGGGCTGTTGGGAAAAAAAAGGTGGGGAAAGCTGTTTCTGAACCCCCCCCTCCCCCCCCCCCCCCCCCCGATCCTGATGCCTTTGAGGCGTAAGCGTGGGTGGGTGGTCTACCTTGCAGGGTCGTTGTGCAGGAGCAATCGGGAGGCAGGGAGAGCTTCCCGCTCTTCCCTTGGTCAGAAGGGATTAAAATGCAATGAAAGAAAGGAGGGGGGGGGTTATTTGGGGGGGGGAGGGGCGCAGGGAGGGGGTTGCTTAACTGTTGCCAGGAGCAAAATTAGGGGTTAGAAATGATTCCTGCACTTGAACAATCGGGGTTAGGCTGGCTGGTGACTCGGTGGTTGGTGTGAGTTCTGTAAACCAGGGTTCCTTGAGGGTGTTGGGGGGGAAATTCGCCCTTTCGTGACTCCCCCTCCCTTCCCAATGCCCCCCCACCCATTTGATCTCCTGGTTAGAAGGATAATTGAACATGCCCAGAGCGCTAGGAGGGGCTGGTTACCTCCACTCCTCCACCCCATCAGAAGCAGCTGTGCAACCTTGGTTTAGAAAGAAACTTCCATTCTGGTTTCTTCTTAGCCAGCGTCTGCTGAAGACCAACCTGCCTTTTGGGCAATGGCTTAATGATGATTGGTCTTGGCTTGATTTAATCCTATGGAGCCATCGATTGAGGGCAGAAGATCCCCAAAACTGAACCCCCTTTTAAAAATCTCCCTCCCTCCCTCATCTGTCTGTCTATCTATCTATCTACCTACCTATCTACCTATCTACTGTATGTATCTGTATCTCTCTCTCTAACTATAAATCACTTCTATCTACCTACCTACCATCTATCTATCATCTCTTTTATCTCTATCATCTCTTTCATCTCTACCTACCTACCTACCTACCTATCCATCATCTATCATTTCTATCATCTCTACCTACCTACCTATCATCTATCTGTCTGTCTGTCTATCTATCGTATGTATCTCTCTCTCTCTCTATAAATCACCTCTACCTACCTACCTACATACCATCTATCTATCATCTCTTTCATCTCTATCATCTCTACCTACCTACCTATCTTTTATCTATCATCTCTATCATCTCTACCTACCTACCTACCTACCTATTGTCTGTCTGTCTGTCTGTCTGTCTTGTCTGTCTGTCTTGTCTGTCTATCTATCTATCTATCTATCTATCTATCTATCTATCTATCTATCT